CACAACGTTTCATTTGCAGACCGAAATCAAGAATCTGTGTTTACAGTCATTAAAAATGAGGGAATTCTTTTTACCTGTACTGCGCACGTGTGTGTTTACAGTCAGCATGAAAATGAGGGAATCCTTTCCACCTGTACTGCGAATGTTCTAGAAATAACTTCTAACTAGTTATCGATGAGTTTCAAAACATTCATAGATAAAAAAGCCACAGGAAGGGGGGGGAGGGGAATGGGTAAACCAAGCACCTAGATCAAGAAGACTAAATCGAAAATCGTGGGTGTAGAAATATCAGACTTGAAGCAAGTCTTTGAACTTTGACTTGGATAAGAATAGTTCTGCCCTTGCCAAAATTGAAAATTACTTTCTCCTTGTAATGTTATACTCCATATCGTATGAGATAACTTTTGTACCGGTCTTATTTTGTTCATATTGTATCAAAATGTAATCAGATAGAACGTTGGGGGACCAGTGGTCAATTATTGCCCGAGGAGGGGATCATACGGGAAAGCACAAGGTAATCAGTTGTCTCTTAAAGAGTACTGAGGGATATATAAATAATGTAGTGTTTTCTTTCACCCATTCACTCTCCCTCCCCCTCCTTGTCCCTTCTTCAGGAGCCTGGTTACGCAGGTACGGTTTTCTGATAGGATTAATAATTCGTGTACAGTTTGTCTACGGTAGTTGTGTACGTTCATGAAAAGGCTCCTCTATGAGCTTTTAAGTACTGGACTGGTATAATATATAACACTGGCATAACTATTTGATATTGATGTGTGCACATGGACACCAAGGGAGGGAGACTCATGAAAATTGTAAGTATCAATGAGGGTGGGGTCATTAGAATAAAACAGAGCCTTTTGACAGGTGCCTGAAAAGAATTTGAAGGGTATAATACGTTTGTTTTATGATTAAGGAGGGAGGCGATAGGCTCAGAACTGTTCGTGACCCACCCCAGGCCTCCTCTTCTTTCCAGTTGTCGTATCAAAATCCCGCTCGCTTAGCTTACTGTGAAGTAAACTGGAGGAAGTCGAATTTCCATAGGGGCGAGAAATGAGGATTGACCAGTTCAACTGAAAAAATTATGCAGTAAATTTTATGTTTAAATACGCGTTAGCTTCAAATACGGAACTGCAGAGAATCATTATTTTGTTG